TGAAGTACATCTACAGCAGAATGAAGTACATCTACAGCAGAATGTATGTGTGGAAACAAGTTGGACTCACCTGCAATATTTATATTGGCTGGAGTTGCATTGAGGGATGCAGGAGTCCTTGTTCGGCTGCTGTTCGAAGGAGTAATGCCTTTGGTGGAACAGAAAAAGTCAGTGTATAGTAAAACACAACCTTTAATAGACTCTTTCAACTGTAATTATCAATACCTGGCACAGGCTCTTGATAATGGTCTTTAAACCAACGGAAGAGCCCGTTCACTGTAGGGAAAATCTGTGAACGGTAGCGGAAACCATCCGGGGTGATGGTCACATACTCAATCCTAAATGAGAAAAAACAATGATTTTTGAATCTTGTAAAATTACTGAATTAAAAGTCTGCTATTCTGCACAGAACGTTAATTTTCTGCTTTGTCAAGCAACTAAAATACAGCCCCTTAAACAACATGTATACTCTGACAGATTAGTTTTAGGTTGAAAAGAAGGAAGTCACTGATAAGATTCAAGATAATTCTCCATAACTTTTGTACCAATCAGGTAAAAACTGGATAGACACAGAAATAGCCTCGAGTTAGAGAGAGATTAATTATCTTGGAGGTGTAAAGATGTGATTTTATTTAAACTTGTTAACTTTTACATTGAGAATTAGGGCTGGGCGATATCTCAATATTAAAAAAAAATATCAAGATAATTTCATATGCGATATAAAATGAGACTATCAATATAAAACAATATAGTCTCATACTCTACGTAGTTATAACTGTACTTGAAAATCCACCAGTTTTTCTCCCAGTCTGCGCCTTCACGCGGCTCCTCCTCTCTCTCACTGAATACAAACCCAGCCCCTCACCTGTGTCCTGTTTTAGTGAAATATCGAGATATATATCGTATATCGCCATTCATCTTAAAAATATTGAGATATTAATTTTGGTCCATATTGCCCAACCCTATTGAACATTTTAAACTCTGAATGTTTAACCAGTGAAAGCTTATTTACAATTTTTACTAACCACTTCCAACATTTCTAACTCATTGCATCATTGCAACCAATCAAAACAGAGGATAACTTCTGCTTACCGAGGTTTCCCACGAGGCTGGTAGCCCAAAATGAACTTTCCCGGCAGCTCCTTGCACGCTGAAATAAAGTAAGGAATGAATGTTGGTTTCTCCCTCTTTGACTTGATCAATACTTCCTCCATTTTCTACCAAAGAAGAGAACAGAACACAGGTCAAGACTTCAACAATGAGACTGAGACTAAACAAAGAACTTTTAAAACAAAAGAACAGCGTGCACCTCTTTGCTTCCTCCGTTACATTCCTGGAAGTATTTATGTCCGAGCAGATCTCGGGCAAAAGAGGCCATTGGCTGAATATACCGAGCGGTGATTTCATCCAGATCCTCAAACTCCTTCAGAGAAGTTTAAAAAAACAAGCTCTTATTAAAAATGCAGCAATCCTAACAGATACACAAAACATTTCCTGGTTGGAGTAGAAGCACAACAACTTGCTGCTAAAGAGGGAAAAAGTGGCTCACTTCAGTATTGATCCAGAGAGTGTGGCCTAAACTGAACGCATTCTCTTTGCCTTCTTCTCTCACGTCTACATGCTGATAGATGCCATCAGCCACCTGCGAAACATAAAAATAACTTTTAAAAGACACAGATTTACACAGCAACTGCAAATGTAATTTACATCTTTTATCATAGTTACAAGATTATTTTTTAATTTATAAAGATATAAACTTTCAAAAAAACATTTTTTTAGCCACCCAAAATATCTTCCAGTTGGATTGAAATTCATTCTCTTCCTTACTTTCCAAGTGACGGTGAGATGGTTCTCTCCTTTGCTGCTGGGCCTGATGATAAGGTCCCCCTGGTCCAGAGTCTCCATCATCTTCTCAGCCTGGCTAAAACTAATATTGTGGAAGTTGGGGTGGGCGATCACACGCTTTATGTATGCTGAGGAGACAAAGCATAAACTCGAACATAAATCATCTGTTATGATAAATGATGAAAGAGTGAACAATTCTTTTTGCAAGCCAAATCAATTTCAAGGGAAAAAAAAGAGGCAGTTTAAAACTAACGAGTTCGCTGCTGTTTCTTTTTCAGCTCCTCCTCATGTTTCTGGTCCTCAGCCTCTGTGTCAAAGTCGTAGTAACTGTCCTTGGGAAGCTTCCACTCGTTGCCCTTGTCTCCCAGATCTGAGGTGCGGCATGTGAGGTCGACGTTGAACTTCTCGATGTCGATCTTCATGATGCGGCAGTGAACCGTCATGCCCACCTGAAAGGAAGGGAAAGAATATAAACTTTGTTAGTGAAATTAAATATACAACCAATCAATCAATTAATTAATAAAATAAATAAAAATGTAACCAGCAACACCTTACCTTGACCCTCTCCTCTGGATGTTTGACCACTTTATCACTGAGAAACTTGGTGGGAATAAATCCCTGGACACCATTATCTAATCTGGTCCTGACTCCAATGGCCTGACCTGGACACGAGCCGCTGTCAAAATGATTCCACACCTAAAGGCAGAAAAATAAGATCTTTAGCTCTGAGAATGTGCCTGTTTTTGTCCAAAAAGTTTAGAAATGAAGAAACCTCATCTGTTACCTCACTCAGCTCAGGGAAGTTGTCCTGCTGGCAGAAAGGACACTGCCACAGACCTGTAGAGTCGTTCCGAATAGCCTGGTCATAGCTCTCTCCCTGAGGCCGCCGGTGAGCGATACCAGTTACCACACTGGTTATTAGCTTACCTAAAGGAAAATGAGGCAAAGACAGGAATGAAATGAAAAGAATGTTCTCAGATGGGTTTAGCTACAAGATACTAATCTTTAGAAAAGTTCTGCTAAAGAAAACGTGAGCTTCAGCGTTATGTGTACCAATGTAAAAGGTTTCTGGAGTTTCCTTGGTGAGCAGATTGAAGACCTCCTCAGTGTTGGGGACTCTGTAGGGAACTCTGAGGTCTTTGTACCTGCAGCTCAGCTCCGCACGGATGTCATAAAGTGTAATTCCCTTGTTGCCATAACCCTGCAAAACAAAACATCCATTATTAAGATTCGGTTAACTTTCAAAATCCCTAAAATACAATGTGGTGTTTAAAACCCCTTTTTATTTGGATCTAAGCCAAAAGAGACAAGTTCCAAGATGAGACATTTTTTTCTCTTTCAATTTTGATTTATTTCAATCTGACCAACACCCACTGACCTGTCTCTCAAGCTCCTCGGCAAAAGCATCCAGATCCAGATCTTTGAGACGTTCAGGATTTTCCAGGATCTCCTCCAGAGCGCCGGCGGGGTTTGCATCTTCTGCAGACTCATCATACTCGAGGGCATCGACAGCCATCTTACGAGCCCACTCATACGTCTCGGGGTGGACACGAGAACCATCTAGAACCTCTATGTAGGAGTCCGTACTGTCAGAAGAGTTGGGGAGTGGGGGGGTTGATTTATGATTTACTAGCAGCATACCAAGTTCTAGTTTATTAGCCTGTTAAATAATGGCATATTATGAAGTACAACACAGTAGTCCCTCGATACTTCGCCAGTCGAGGACTCACTCTTTCGCGGGTTTTCAATGTAAGATTGTACACGATACACGATTGGCTGATTGATGGAAGGCGATCAACCACAGCATTGTGCTGAGGGGCTGGACTGGCCGTTGGGAGAACTGGGACATTTCCCGGTGGCCTGGCCCGCTCAGTGATCGTCGAGGGGGACTAAAGGTTCAGTTTGGGTCATGCTCAATTATTTTAAATAAACAATCCATGCTGCTCATGCGGCACACTCAGTTATAAGACTGAACCCCCCACACGCCTCACTCCTGTCATTTTCCTAGACAGCCTCGGAAAAAGAAAGGAGGGGGCAAAGGATTTGTCTTATATCTGAGAGCGCTGCACGAGAGGCATGGATTCTTTATTTTAAATAATTGAACGCAACCCGAACCGAGCCTTTAGTCCCCCTTGGTGATCACTGAGCGGGCCAGGCCACCAGGAAATGTCCCAATGATCCCGATGGCCAGTCCGGCCCCGGGATTGGCTCAGTAACCGTAGCATCAATCTGTCTGCTCTCTTTCGCTGTGCTCTTTTAGAGCATTTAGAACATTGTTAAGAACATTACAAGAATGTGAGAAGGGTTTATAAAGCCTTAAAATATATATAAATACTAAAATAAATATAACGTCCCTACTTTGCGGATTTTCACCTATCGTGGGGGTATCTGGAAGGTAAACCCCGCGATAAGTGAGAGACTACTATATAGCAAACATCTGAATGGTTTATTGATGTACACCAAAGTTAAAAGGTACCAACCTGTCACCAAGAGATGCTGTGTCAATCTTGATGAAACCAGCACAGTTAATAAAAACTTTGGGTCCCATGTGACACATGGTGACCAGCTGCGTTCTGTTTTCCAGACGTGTGTTGTTCTGCTTCAGAATCTGCACCAATAAAATAAACACAATGACTTGATAGTTTGCAAATATAGGATTATAATGAAAGTTGACAGTTTTGAAGAAAGGTCTTCACATGATCATGCAAATTTCTACCTTGAGAAGGTGGGCACCCTTCCTCGGCCCCAATCCACAGACATACTGGACCAAACTCTGGGTATGAGGATGGGCGATCGCCCTGTTCACGTCAACACCGACCTCGTTGACACGGTTGATAAATTCACAGTAAAGTGCGGTGAGCAAATCTTCCTTCACTACATGTTCCTAGAAAACAATGTGTTTTAGAAAGATGCGTCACATTTACAGGGGAAGAATCTACGGTTAATCTAGCAAATAAAATTTGTGTGGTAGAAAATAATAAGCCCAAACAATCCAACTATTATTTATTCAGTCACTGCCCCAAATGCCTTTCATCAACGTCTCAGAAACTGTTGTAATGCTGCTTCTGAGGAAAGATTAATGCTCTAACAATAACAATAAAAATGCCCTCAACACAATCTCACCTGCAGCGGGTGTAGTTTGAGACACAGTATGTCGTCATCAGTGCTGCAGACCTGAGCATATTCTATTAGAGGATCCTGAATCTTTCTGGCTACTGAGACAGCCTGTCGCAGCAAGGGAGGATAGTCCCTAAAATCAGTCTGCAGAGAGAGACAGCAGCAGGTTCAGAGGATTGAAAGCCACACCTCAGATCCAAGTTCAACTGTTTAAAACCACAGTCTCTTTTGTGTTTAGTAATCGTATGCACGATGAATGCGGAGCATAGAATTTACCTCTGACTTCTTGCTGTTCATGTAAAGTGTGGCCAGTTCATTGTCAACCAGTTCCACTCCCACAGCAGGAAGAGACGACTCCTGCTCAAGTTCACTGATAGTCCTCTTTATATCCTCCATGATCATTTGAGCATCTCTGTACACACACAGAGCGTTTTTAACATTTCAAAATTTGCACAAAATGAAATAGTTTAGAAGTCTGCATGTGGTTTAACAGCACACACAAATACAGTGATTTTAACTGAAGTCTGTGATGGAGGAGTGCTTGTACTGTATTATTCAACCACCTTTTTTGCTTTAACTACAGCTATGCTATGAAAAAAACAGTGTAGCTTAAAAACATGTATACAGTAAAATCAAATCAACTTCTTACCGATTTTCCCCAGCTACAGCGACCACATGAGGTTTCTTGCTCGAGAGAAACCTCTTAAGATTTTCAATGTCATGTGCCTGTAGATAGTACAAAGTAGTACATGTCTCAGAGATATAGTGACTGATTTATTTTGGCTGTTTATCCACAAACACATCTGCAAATTGCACAGTACTAAAGTCTGTACCTTTCTCTCTCTTTCTTCTTCTCTAAAGGCGTTCCTTCTCTTCATGAAGTAAGGCAAACGAATGAAGTCCACCACCTCTCCATCCCCATTGATCAAAGCACAGAAAACTGGCGTGTCTCTGTCAGAGCAAAGATCACAACAAAACTAATAAAACTGTCACAAAAACACGTTTTTCTTTAACTATACGAGCACAGTAAATACTGTTTTACACACAGTTCTGTTAGTACCAAAAACCCTGCATAGAGAAATATTCTGCAGTAAACATACCTGCTGGGTGCGAAGGCAACACCTAGCACTCGTATGCCTTTTCCCTGACTCTCATCCATCAGGTCGTCATCTTCCTCAACCTGTTGATCTGGCCTGTATGGAGCCACCTTAAGCCAGTTGTACAACCGGCGACAGCAAGACTTTAACGACAAAAGACAAACCTAATGAGTTAACAGGTTACACAGATATAAATTACACAAATGTGAATTTGCCGTGATGATTATTTTATAGTGAAATGGAAAACTATTATGGTAAATTTTACAACAAATTACCTTAACAATGCTCTCTTTAGCTTCAGTTATCAGTTTGCTTTTTAACTCCTTGGCCATCTGAGGGTAAAGAAACTGATTGAGAGATCTCTCTATGGCTAAAGTTCGCTGCCTGTTCCACTCCTGGACCTGGTGACTGAACTCGTCTCTGTAGTAGAACTGCTTGATCTCATCGAAGTATGTTTGGTCCCCGGCATAGCTGAGAAACAGAAGAGAAACAAAAAGTGTTTGGAGAAAAGAGAACTTTAACATTTCCAGTCACAACTAAAAGCAGTACAGTTTACTGACAGAACAATAAATAACATATCGAGCTTCTGTTTATATTTGAAAGAAATTAAACTCTGAACACATACTTAATTGGTTCTACAGGATGTTTGCTAATTAATGACATGTTGGAACTAGTTTAATAAAATAAATGGCAAAGAAAACGAACAGTATCCATAAAGTCTATTTAAAATTACAAATTAAATAAAATTGGGAATATTCACTAAGAAAATAATCAAAATGATCAATGTCTACTTACCCTTTGACACCTATTAGATCTATACAGACATCAATGGAAAGAAGGCCCTCCTCCTCTGCCAGACACATCTTCAAAAACTGATCCCCATTCAGCTCTTTTACAGCCTTATTCTTTAGATACTTGAAGGAATATGCAAAGTGAGCCTCGTCTATCTCCTATTGGAATAAAAAGGTTGCATTTAGAAAAGTAATTTATTGTGAAGATATACATGCTTCCAGTATATCTCTGCATTGAAATCTTTCCATACCTTTTTGCCCTTCTTCGTAGGTTTGATGTTGATCTTGGCCCTCTCCTGGAAGGTCTGACGAAGAACGTGTCTGACTAGAGGTTCCCGAGCAATCTGCATGGCGACCATATACCTGGTTCCTTCCAGCACTGCCTCAGGAGTCTGGAACTGACTGCAAACATAATCTTTTGCCAGCTCCAGTGGCTCGGCAGGGAACTGCTCTGTCTCGTGACGTTGGTAACTGTCCCTCAGATTCTCTCCAAACTGTTCTGGAGTTAACCCAAACTTTTTAGCCAGGCCATCTGTGGGAAAAAAAAAAAAAAAAAAAAACAAGTTTAGAGGTAACAGTAATGAAATGTGAACCCAAAAATTGTGACGTCCAGCGTAAGAGATGACTAACCAAGTCCTACGCTTTGACAGACGCTGTACATGTCTCTACGAGATGCCAATTTCAGGTCAGGCCCTTTCTGCTCCTCCTCCTCTTCAACTTCAAGCTCTTCCTCTTCACCTAGAAATCAAAAAGCAAATGGTCAAAAAATAAAAACATTAAAAAAAGGCTAATGAGTTTTCAGAGACAAAAAAAACAACAAAAAAAACTATAAAACTCCACTCATAATTATGAATGGCCATCATCCATTTTACCATCTTCTGACACTTTAATCTTCTTGAGCTTCTTCTTGTTGGCTTTTGCAGTATTTTGCATCTTGGGGATGTCTCGTCCATAATAGAGCAAGAAATGATGATACACATCGCTCAGTTCTTCTAGAGTCTGCACATCTTTCAGCCTTCAAAACATAATAAATAATAAGGAGTTAAACAAAAACGTGGAACTATTAATTTTTTTTTTATAGATTTTGTGGTAATTTTATCCGACTCTTTTCTTTGTGTAATCATAACTACGGTCAGGCTGCAGAGATGTGGCACTGTACCTCTCCATGTCAGCCGTGTCCAAAGGACGAATGCCATCGGCCAAAGGTTTGTCAGGATCAGCAGAAATCTGCTCAAACTGGAAGGCCTGCATCTTCTGAAACAGCCGGGTCAGGTTCTGTTTCCTGGTCTTCAGCTGAGTCCACTGTTGAAAGAGGAAGAGTGTAAGACAAGAAAATAATGGTGGGACAATCAAGACACTAAAATCAATTGATTTACAGCAACTTTTTTAACCTCACAATTTTAAAATCAGTGAGATAGGAAAATGCTTCAGATTAAATAAAAGTTTCATTATTTTGGAAATCCAAAAAAGTTAAGTCTGGTCCTCTGGACATTCAAAAAACAAAACAAAGCAAAACAACAACAACAACAAAAACGTAGAAACGTTTCGTCTTTCATCCGAAAGTCTTCCTCTGAGACAGAGGAAGTCTTTTGGATGAAAGACGAAACGTTTTTATTTATTTTTTTGGTTTGTTTTGCTTTGTTTTGTTTTTTGAATGTCCAGAGGACCAGACTTAACTTTTTTGGATTTTTCTACCTGGATTATTGAGCATGCATCAGGATATTATTTTGGAAACTTAACTTTGCAAATGTACTTTTAATGCACACACCGAGTCTTTCAAGTCATATATAAGTTACATTAAATATGACAAAAGTGTATTTGAGAACGCTTACTTTTTTTCTTTTGAAGTTTTCAAAACCTTTACTGAGTTCTGGCTGACATTTTGTTACTTCTTCCACACACCTGAATTATATTTAAAGCAATTATAATCTTGTGAATATGATAATTATAATTTGTTTTTGAAATAGATGCTTAAACTCATTCCACTGGTCTTGCTGTTTTAAAAAATAAAATAAAATCCAAACAAATTAGCACAAAAATGTGTAAAGGACTAAGTTTATTACTCGCAAGAAACCTGAGATGGAATTTGTACATTAAAATGACAGAAGCAAATGATTTGACAGTTAAGAGCACAAATACTGTCCAAATGATTACAGAAGTTACTGAAAGTTTTAGTGTAGAGACTCAAAGCTCTTTAGATAAATAAGGCATACCTTTTCATCCCACTGCCACACCTTCCACAGATCGTTGATATTTAGTTCTGGCTCCACGTACTCTTTTCTGTAGAAGGCTATGAATGGAACCTGACAAAAACAAAAAAAAGGCAACTGGATTTACATAAAATGATCTATGTCCAAGATTTAAGGTATCCCAACAGACTGCAAAAGCCTTGAAGCTTGATAATCGAATAAAACTGTACCTCAAGAAGTTGATTCCTCATGAAGTTGAGAGCCTCTTTGATCTTGGCGATGGTGCTGGGCCCCTTCCTACTGAAGTTTGTTGTTGATCCTCTGTCAAGATAATCTGTGCTTTCCTGTCATGGAAATAATTGGAAATAAAAAGAGAACAAAAATTATGATAAACAAAACAAAGAACCATAATAAGTATGATGTATAGTTAAATAAAACACTAGAGAAGGGGTCCCAACCGCCGGGCTGGGGACAAGAACCGAGCCATAAAGAAAAAAAAAAAACAAAAAAAAAACGATTTTTTCCCCTATTTTTGTTAGTCGGTATGGTATTTTATTTTTAAAAATTCGCCACTTCTGCCCATGCAATTTTGGCACTTGCTTGATTATCGCAGTATTTTTCGTACGCTAGTAGGCCCTCAAACTAACTTCAGCAAATTGAGTAAACAACAAATGTCTCTGGAGAGTTTCTTTGAAAAAATGAGAAGGCCTAATGATGAGACCGCAGAAGGCTCCTGACACCAAAATAAAGCTGCATTTAAAAAAAAAACCAAGAGTCAAACTTCAATTATGGGTTCATCACATCAGGTGAGTCACATGCTCAGATTATGAAATTATAATTACATTTAAACTATAGGTAATAACTTAATTTAATTATGATGCACTTTATTGTGTATTGTTATGCGTGTGACCCCCGCCCCCAACCCCCTCTCCCACAGCCAGTCTGTGGAAAGAATGTCCTGCATAAAACTGGTCCATGGTGCAAAATGGTTGGGGACCCCTGCACTAGAGGACGTTCTGGTCACATCACCTTGTGATTCACTGCAGCAACGGCGGCCATTACCTAAACAGTCTAACGTTTGCACTTGGCGTTTTGACTAAAAAGCCAGCCTATGTAAAAAATGTCAAAAACAATAATAAAAGATATGTAATATAATAATGTTAATAATAATGTAATATTAGAATGTATGCAAAAATGCCAGAAAGCTGTGTGTGCTAAGGATATAGCAACAGAAGAATGAAAACATCAACACGTCTCCTTTCATGTCAGTAGATTTGTTCTTGATGATAAACTGACCTTTGACCTCCATGTGAACTCACTTTGTAAAAAGACCCACCAAAGAATGTATGTTTATCGGAAGCTTTGTGGTTTTAATGTTGATTCAACTTTTATGAGAATGTTTTATTCATGTTTTATTGAGTCTATTTTAACCTTTACCTTCATCTGTTGGTTTGGACTTTTGACATGTAAGAACAGGAGCAAACTCTCGGGGATTGTCAGGATATGCAGCAAAACTGCTGGCATAGACCTACGGAACCTCGCTGACCTACACAAGGTGAGGTCAGTGAATAAGGCCAGACAGATTCTGGCAGATCCTGATCATCCACTCCATGATGAGTTCAGGTTGCTTCCATCTGGACGCAGGTTTCTGCAGCCCAGATCTAGAACAAACAGACTGAAAAACTCTATCATTCCTGTAGCAATCAGGTTTCTCAATGAACACTAATATCAATACTGTTACTTTAATGTCTTAATGTCTTGTGTGTATATATATATATATATGTATGCGTATGTATATATGTGTATATGTGTATGTGCATGTGTGTGTATATGTACACATCTACTGACTGTGAAACTAATTGCCCCTCGGGAAACACGCATCACTGCAATTAGCTGCAGTTAGTAGTGCCTACATGTAAACAATTTGAAAATCTTATTCAACTAGTTAAAAAGTCTTCAGAGAAGCCAGTCATTAATTATTGACCGACTTCAGGTCTAGTTCAGACGTCATTAGTTATACACAATATATTTCCTCATATAACATTAAGCTGTTTTACATGACTGTTGAATGAAATTAAGATTAATTACGAAATATACTGTTATTGTAAAGATGTAAAAAAAATGATTTGTGACACAGATTCAGTTAGGCTTGCTGTTTTTGTCAGTTTTGGACGCCATCTTAGCTTCTCCACAATGTCACAACTGTAAACAATGGGCGGAATGAGCATTGCACAATTTAGTGGTATTAGATAACTCTATGGTATGATGTCTGAAAAAAACAAGGAGATAAATATTCTTAGTTTGTATGCAGCCTTCTCAATAACTTATTGAGTAGGAGGCTAACGGCTCAGAGTAGGAGGCTGGAGCCGTTTCCCAACAACAACAGGGATGTTCTGTGCAGTGAAAGTGTTGGTGAACACAGACTGTTTAAACTGATCACTGATGAAAATGCCTTCCCAGCATCACAGGCATGACAAGAGTTATGAATTCATAATCATCAGCAGCAAATCAATTTTGTAAAGCGAAATAACATACATTTTCAAGAATCTAATAAAGAATTATTTCACAGTGAATTTATCTATATTCTTTTATCTTGCAGCAGTCCCAGCTGAATGCACGCAGCTCAAAAACTTCTTGTTTTCTGTAACTACAGACAAGACCATGAAATCTGATCGACATCAAAAGCATCACATTGTGAACATTTGATTAAGACGGTTTCAACCCTTTAACTTTATGACTATTTGTGTTCCTCAGGGGGAAAATCAACCATCTTATTTAACTGCTTGAAAATACTAGTTTAATTTTTTTTCTACAAAAAATAGTCAAGTATTTTAGAGCTGTCTCAGCCTGAAATAAATATTTCTCATTTAAATGCCTTTTTTATTTGAACCATTTGTTTTTTTGTTTAAAAACTCTACGCTGTTTTTTTTTATTGACAAAATGTTTATTTTACGGTAATTAAAAAAAGGGTATTTTCCTCCATTAGTATGCCCTCTGGGTCAACAGCCACATCCTCCTCTGTTCTCCAGAGCTCAGAACTGATGCCTGGTCTTGTTGTTGTTTTTCTTTTACATTTTATTGTTGGATGTAACCGGGACCCTGTGTACATAATTTCGCTCCACCACATGTACCACATTAGGTGCGAACGACAATAAAGAAACTCTGACTGGTTCTGTTGGCCCACTCAGAGGGGTTCTGGACACCTCTCCTCTGCAGAGTCAGACCTCCTAGTGGGGCTCAGTCTGCTCTTCCTCTCTTTCCTCTTCTAAAACAAATCAAGATCACCCTTTTCATTAACAAGTCCACACTGTCTGACTTAGAATCTATTTTTCTCCTTCATGATCCTCTCCTCTGTCTGAGAGGTTCTGACTCAGCGGTTCCGTCCTCCCCTGGGTCCACAGTTCTATCAGCCTCACATTCAAAAATTGTCTCATTGTTTTGATTCAAACACAATAGAACCGACTAAACACTAAACACACTAAGTTACACTCTAACTATTAAATCCAAACACACTAAATATCACAGATCTCTCAAATCTCATGACTCACTCCCGCTGTCGTTGACTTTATCGTGCTGAACTCCATTCAACTTCCGCATCTTTATCTTCTTCATCTTGTAGATTTTTTGGTGCTTGACAAATAATTTTGAGCCCCCGTCGGAAAGGAGAGGGGAAGTTGTTTATCTGTTCGGGGGCATGGGAGGTGAAAGCAGACCATGATGGGGGCGTTTTGTCCCAGAGACAGCCTATCTTTGCCACAGCCTCTCACTCTAACGCACTTCAGATATGAAAATGACTTTCAAAAAAAGATGTGGCGTGGATTATTTATCATAAACTCTGATTTTACTTGGCCTATCAACAAAATTGAAAACTGTTGTGTATATTAAAGTCTGTACTTCTGACAAATTAAATGGCATCTATGAGACTGTGCCTTTCCCGCTAGAGCGACTGAAATTAGTCATGTGACTATCACGCACTGGCGCGTCGATTGACTCCAGGTGGGGTGTTTGGGGGGGAATAGTAAAGAGTAAGCGATGCCAGACACTTGAGCAGAAGGTGAAATTGTCACCAGCCGAGAAGGCAGTGAATATAAAGGAGTTTGGTCTGTACCTGCATGGAGATGGTTAGAGTGGAGAACCCATGTCTGAAGATCCACTCCGCTTCTTCTTCCAACTCATCCTCCTCAGCAGATTTAACAGGGATGGATCTCAACTGCAACACAAGACAATTCCTAGTGTCACACACATACAGAAGAAATATGTTCACTGTTATTTAACCAACAGACACACACCTGGAACCTCTCAGGCATGTCTGTGGACCGGATCTCATTATCTTGGTCAGTCATATGACTGCTTTCCAGCTCGCTGGGCTCATAGAGCTCAAAGATGCTCTTTCTCCCAAGCCTCCTCTTAGTCTGTTTTTTGGGTCGATCCCAGCTTTCTTCATCTTGATCTTCTTCCTCCTCCTCACCCTGATCATAGGCATCCACATCAAAGTCAGCAAAATCGAAGTCGCCACCAAAAATCTCCTGAGCTTCCTGAAGGGCTCTGTACAAAAAGGAATGAAGATCTGTAACCATTCACATGTACAGAAAATAGAATTTGATCGATGAAATAGGTTTTCAGTGAAAAATCAAAAATAATTTCAAAACTCACGCATCAGTGTATCCCGAGAACTTCTTGCCTCTCTTTTTGGTGATGGGTTGGCCATCATCATCCACAATAAAATCATCTATATCTGTAGAAAGAACATGCACATTTAAATGGCAATGTTTATTCTGCCATTACTTGCTTATTTTAAAACTGGTCCAGTAATCTTTCTGCCAACCTGACTCTTCATCCTCTCCTTCTTCCTCATCTTCTGGATGTCGAAGAGGCTCATCAACAGCCTCGCCTTCCTCCAGGTCACCTTCACCCTCCCTGTCAAAGATCTCATTTTCGATCAAGTCCTTCTCGTCATCGTCGTCGTCATCATCCAGTGTTTTTACACGATCGTATTTCTTCTTCTACAACACAAGATAGACACATTATCAATGCAATAAGCATATAATACACACACACACACACACACACACATACACATATGAATCATAAAAACACATCAAACTTGTCTGAACTCCAGCATAATCTGAGTCTAAAACTCCATGGTAGATTTTATAGACACGGGGGCAGGGGGTGGATGTACTTGTTTATAATGACACTTACTCTCCTTTTCACTTTGACACCCAAGTTTTCCTCAATGAGGTCAAGATCATCATCATCCAAGTCGTCATCAGTTCCTGTAAATACAAAATCTTAGTAACAGAAAAAAGCTTTACGATACCCCAAACTTACACTATTGAAATGCCCAACACTCAGACACAATTTTCTAATGAGACTTCTAATAATAAGATGGAAAACGTAGACATTGAGCCTACAGAGTAGCAGGAAAACATTGCTATTTATACACTCATTTGCTGTGAAAGCTCTGAAGAATTATTTGTTGGGTGTCATACATCTTTTACACATTCATATTTCATACAAACATTCCACTATAAAACAGAAGAATTTCCCTCTACAATTATTCATAATGAAAAAATAAAACCCTTAAGAGAAAAAAGAATTGGGGATAGTCTTTTGTTTATTTAAAAGATGCGACAGTATCACTGTAACCTTTGATGAGTCAAAGGAGGATATTAGTGAATATGACATATCCACCTTATTCCTGGGTGCTTCACTGTATAAATGATTATGGGTACAACTTCCTGTCAGACACCAGAAGTAGCAGTAAGCACTGGTAGCGTAGCATGGACCACGGTTCATTTTAAAGTAATTTGTATTCAGTTTAGGATATAAAATGCTGTTTTTGTTGACATTTATTTAACAACCAAAAAAATTACTAAAAAAGCCTTGCAGAGTTCAGATACCTGTTGTATTGTTCGCGGCTGCATGAACAACCAGATCAAACTAAATCAGTGGCTACAACAACAGTGTTTTGAACACGGACCCAAAACAAACCAAAAAAATAAGTGTTCCTGTGAAAAGTGGTATGGTTTCCACTGCCAACCCACAGATAAGAAATTATGAATAATGTGTCTGAAAAATCTGAACTTGAAGAAACCACCCAAAATGCTGTGTGTGCGCTCATTTCACTTTGTTGACAAACGGCTGACGGAGGAAAACCTGCATCCTACTTTGTGGCTGGGCTACAATAAACAACCGGAGACGCTGGACCCTCCGAAGGACTGAAAACAGTGACAAGAACATCAGGTATGATTTCAAATGTATGGAGGGCACAGCATTATAGTATTTGTTAGTCTTTGGTATTACAGTTTTCTCTGCAATTAACCCAAGCTCGTTGATGCTGGATTTTAAAGCTTTGGCTGGGCTCTATGTCTGCTTTAAGGTAAATAAAATTGTGTCCTGCCTTTTTTAACAAAACATGAGCTACCTTATTACTGTGTAGATACTAATACACTTTAGAGATTTTCAGGTTGTTCATCGCTTTACCGTCGGAAGCAGCCGAGTCATTAAAGTAGCTAAATATGCTACTAGGTGTAATCTGCAGCCACTTCTTCAGGTCGTTCTCCCATCCCTCGTCCTCAGCAGGCAGTGGTATGATTATATTGTCCTGTTTGAGCTCATACAGGCAGTGTTCCTACATGTTTCAATTAAATGCACAGTGCTTGGAGAAACTACATTTGCTAATACTGTTCACACATAAATAAATGCTGGTTCTGGTCCGCGCTGGAAGTCGCACCCATAATTCACGCAAGGCAGCACGGGGGCTAGGAATAAGGTTGATAATATGCAAACAAACAAGCTAAAACAAAAGGTTTAGTAGACTATTTATGCTTGAAGTCTTCAAAGTGTAGAAGCTGAATGTAACAACTTTTGAAAATAACACCCGGAGAACTTACTGCGCTTTTTACGACGATGCCTCACTTCCTCTTCAGAGTCACTTCCCGCTGCACTTCCACTTTTCCTCACTTCTTCTTCCTCCTCCTCTCCTTCATCATCTCCATCATCGATCAGTCCACGCAAATTTCCGTGTTCATCCTGCTCCTCTGGGTTGTCCGCGTCATCTTCTTCATCTGTTGTTAAATGACAGTGGTCAAAAGGCCAGCAGGTGAAACACACCCACAAGGCTAAGGCACTCAGATCTACCTTCTTCTTCTAGAAACCTTTGGGTCTTCTTTGGTTTAAGGTCCTTCTCTTCAAACTCCTCCTCTGACTCCTCTGCTTCGCTATCAATAAAGTCTGACATCACGAGTCTTCCTAAAAAAAAACATGTTCAAGATGCTTTTAGCAGACTTTCTTAACATAACATACTACGGTGTTCTCCCACACCTATAAAATACCAGTTTAAACTTTCACATTAAGATATGTACCGTAATCTAAACGTTACTAATGGCTTAAAGTAGCAAATAAAAAATTCAAGAATCTTTGTTAGAGCTTATACATGTCATATGTGTACAGTCTCGTTCAAACCAAGGATTATTTTAAGTTTAATACTACCTGTTCTCTTAATACTGAGACATAGGTAGACAGTAAATCACATATGTACATTATTTATCTGATTGTACAGTTTTTACGCAAACAAGTTGATATCAAGAATATTGTAGGGATGTGTTTGTAACCAAAATGTTAGTGCTTTTCCACTCCACAACTTCACATCTGCGTAACAACATATGTAACCAGTATGTCGCAATGCGTACACACCGAAGGAAATTAACAACAGGTAAGCTGCTTCCATGTTTATGTTGTCTAACGTTATTTAGATAATTAAATATTGTTGGCTGATGTCAACCAAAATGCTACTTTCACGAAAACCATGCGCAATACCGCTTAACAACAGTCACCACCCTTTTGTGAGCTAAAAATCTCATGTTGCTAATCCATGTAGCAGCATTAGCAACTTAGCTAGCATCAAAGTTTTAAGTATTTAGTTTATTATTATAACCATTTAGTTATTACGTCGACCTTTTTATTAAAAGGATAGATACAGTTAGCAATAAAAATTATGTTTTACCACGTCCGAAGCCAGTTGCATTAAAGAAAACCAAGGCCTAAACCCACCTTGAATGCTAGCTTGGCTTTAGCCGTACAACAAACAGCTCAAACGAACGTTAGCTAAACATCATTTGAACATTCCTCTCAAAAAAAAGACCGCAGTGAATTCAACTTACACGCCTCAGTGTGATGATATAATCCGAATACAATTATAATTGTAAATCACTTGTGTTGTGTTTTGTGTTTTCGAGCTTACACTAGTAAAGATGGCCGACAACAAGCAGCGTGATAATTTCCGGCGGAATTCGTTTCTTCTTCTTTAGGACAAAAAAAAAAAAAACCGCAACCGCTTTAGGCGCATTACCGCCCCGAAGTGGAATATTGTGTAGTGCAAGAAATAAACAAAACGAACAGAACACAAAACAAGTATTCAAAGTGCAAATGAAAATTTAGAAATGCCGGTTTTAGCCAATACCTGACAGATTACTCATAAGAGAAAATTGAAAAATCTGCAATCTTTTTGCTTCCATAAACTGATTTCTCTCAATACAATACAATACAATACAACTTTATTTATAGAGCACTTTAAAACAACACTGTTGACCAAAGTGCTGTACACTAGGACATACAAAAACATAAAAAACCCACACGTTAAAAATATGAAATAAAATAAAGATAACAAATAAAATAAAACAAATAACTTAGAGTCATTAAAACCAACATTTCAAACTGAAGTAAAAGCCAAAGAGAAAAGATGTGTCTTCAGAGAAGACTTAAAAACAGGAAGTGAGCCAGCTTGTCTGACATGCAGAGGCAGCTCGTTCCACAGTTTAGGGGCAGCGACTGAGAACGCTCGGTCACCTCTCAGTCTCCTGTTGGACCTTGGGACGACCAGCAGCAGCTGATCTGCTGACCTGAGAGAGCGAGAAGGAGTGTACAGCTGGAGCAGGTCGGACAGATACTGTGGGGCGAGACCATGAAGACATTTGAAAACAAATAAAAGAACCTTAAAATTAATCCTGAAGCGAACCGGGAGCCAATGTAGTGATTCTAAAACAGGGGTGATGTGTTCTCGTTTTTTGGTACCAGTTAAAAGGCGGGCAGCTGCGTTCTGAACCAGCTGAAGTCGAGTCAGTAATGACTGGCTCAGACCGACATAAAGTCTCAGACAGACAGACAGACAGATAGATAGATAGCAATATTGTAAAACAAAAAAATTTGCAGGCTTCAGTAAAATCTTCAGCAAAATTAAACTTATTACATAAAACATAGACCTAAATAAAAATTTTAAAAAAGCATTTTGGTACTGCTGCGATCACTTTTTTTGGCGTATACATTTTAACTCACATTTGTCAAAATGTGTGTAGATATAAACAATTTATTTTGTTTTATTTTAAACTTCTATCTCTCAAAGTTACATCATGTTCTTAAAATGATAGTCTTTAGCACAGATGAGAGAATTCAATTCATACGTAGCACCAAGCCACAACAGAAGTGCCATGTTGAGGCTGCTTTTATACACTGTATTTAATTTTTATTTATTGCTGATGCTCCCTTCTTCAGGAGTTGCCACAGTGAAATAAGTCAGAAGAAGATTTGGCATTTATTTTTATGCCGGATGTCCTTCCTGACGCAACCACAGATCACCGAGCTACCATAGCCCTCTGTGTGGAGCAGAGAGGGGAGCAGATGGTTGGGGTTAAGGGCCTTGCTCAAGAGCCCAGAGTGAGGCAAATGAGGGTGAGCTGGTGTGGGTGCTTCACCTATCCCACCCACATTTGGATGTGGGTACCGGGAGTTGAACCGATGATCTTCTGATCACAGGCACACCTTCTCTAACCTCTGCGCCACCACTCCCACATTTGTACATTATTATTGTTTAGCATATATCTTAGATCCTTGTATACTGTTTCTTTTTATACATTATATTTTTGCTATTTTGGGGTGTAACTGGGACCTTGCGTAAACAATTTCGTTCCACCTCATGTACCGCATGTGAATGACATTAAAGAACCTTGAAGTTATCTCAGGGCACTGTACAGAAACATTCGTAAGTTAATAACATTAATCATCTGAGGAGCAGACTGCTTTGAGTTTAACTTCATCACAGACTCTCATCTTGAGCAAGCATGAAGGCAACAGGAGAAATGGAAAAACTCCCTCAATGAAACCAGCTGGATTTGAGAAGACAGGGAGGAGAAACAGATACTCAATGGCGAACAAGAATCACAAGTTACAATATAAATTACAATAGGCCCTCGCAGCGCTTAGCTGCTCGGGCCTAATAATTTCAAATGAAAACTATTCAATTGTAACAATTCATTATAAGAAATGTGGTCAATTTGTCCTCCAGTAAGTATATAGTAAGTAAATATATGGCAGCATAACAGCCAACCATAACTTTAGGATTTATCAAAGAGGGAAGTCTTAAGCCTAGTCTTAAAAAGAGAAGAAAGGAAACAATATATATATA